GAGCCGAGCCATCGCGTGGCACCAGCATCCCCTCCCTGGGGATTCGGGGGAGCAGCGGAGAAGGCCCGGGGGCTCAGCCCCTGGCACCATCCTGCCTCCCTGGCGTCACTGCCCCGGCATCGCCTAACGGCGTGCCGTCCCCCCGCCTTCCCGGGGCGTACACGGGGCGCAGTCAGCTCGTGAGATCCGGGCGCGGAACTTTGCACCGACTCATTTTGCAGAAAAATATTGATTTCTTAAAAATGGGCTCTCTATTTGTCTCTTTTTTTTTTTTTTCCCCCCCTTCCTGGTTGCGTTTTTAAGCCATTCCTGAAATAGGCAGCAGCGTGCCGGAGCAGGTTTCAGAGGCATCGGCGGCGGGGGCCCCGCCCGCGGGCCCACCTGCCAGCCATGAGACAGAACAAGCCATTGAATGGTTGTGTTTTTTTAACACATCCACCCAGGTGCTTACACATGCCTGCGAGCGCAGGCGGTCGACTGCGTTCCTGCATCTCTGGTGTTGAGACCTGTTTTTTCTGAGGGGTGAATGAGGTTGGCTGCAGCACCAGGGCACAAGATCGGTGGTGGGGCTGGGAAGGCTTTGGAAGGAAACCTGTATCTGGGTTTTCTAAACAAATGTCGGGTGGGCTTCTGATTTAAAAAGGTGTAAATCCACCAGTGTAGCCCATCCTGCCATACGTCCTCTACGCCGCCCCTGCCTGCGGTCTCTAACCTGTCCATCAAAACCCACCAGGGATGGAGCATGGTCTCCATGCTCTCCCCACCCGCAGATAGTGTCCTGTGGAGGTCGACTCCTCTTAGCTTTTGGGTCTCCATGAAAGGCATGCAGCTTTTCTACAAGCCCGGAGGTTTTTTGTCCGAGTGGGATGAACTCTGGAAATCTTCTCTGAGGGAAAACAATGGCAACGGCCCTTGGGAGGACATATGGTCCTTGTTAGAGACGAGGCACCCAGAGATAAACATGGAAGCAGAAGGAAGAAAACAAACGCTTCTTGGGAAGCGTACAAGGCGTACCAACTGGCACCTTCCTGCTTCTGAGCTCAGAAGGGGAGGAACGAAAAGCCCAGTAATTTTCCTATTATTGTAGAAATATCCCATCAGAGGCAACTGCTGGTTGAGAAGCCTGAAGCCCCAGATGGGTATTTAAGGTTCCATTAGCTGCCAGGAAAATGAGCTCCAGCACATGCCAAAAACCCCGTCCTGCGATACGAAACACTAGAAAGGAGGGGCGGGCAGGGAAGTCCTGGAGCAACCGCCCTACAGGACGCCTTTGGCTCGTGGAAGGCCTCCAAATTGCTAGAGCGCAGCCTCCATAAGCTATTCCGATGGACCAGGTCAGGGTTTTAACATCCTTCCTGGGGACGCCAGGGAGGCCCAAGGGCAGCAGGCACGGCCCCACGTGGCCCCGGAAGCCAGGAGGCTGCTCCCGCGGGGAGGTGCAGGACAAGACACGGATGGGGTTGCAGCAGATGAGCCAAGACCAGGCTGCAGCCGCGGGAGACCCCCCCGGCTCCATGCCCACCCGCACGCAGGGCTTGTCCAGGAGCCGTATAAACCCCCCTGGCCTCCATCCCAGCCGTCGGGCGAGTGCCCGGCCGTGGCCGTGGAGCGGGGCTGGGCTCCCAGCGCCCCATTGCCTGCGAGGCGCCTCCGCATCCTCTCGCTCGTGCTGGAGAAGCTGCCGCAGTCGAGCGACTAGTGAAACGGCAACGAGGAAGAGGAGCAGCGCGTCGGAAATGGAGGTGCTGTCACAAACCGCAGCTCAGCCGGCGCTGGAGCTTGCCTTCCTTTGCAAGGTTCCTGTTACAAAAGGGAGATTTGTCAAAACCAGCAGCAAAGGCACGCGCGTGACAGCGAGCTGGCCGCCTCTCTGCCGGCACCCATCACCGCCACGGTGCTTTACGGGGTTCGGGCCGGGGAGCAGAGCGCTTGGCAAAGGGCAGCCTCTCCCGCTAGGGCCGCGGGCAACGCAGCGCGCCCCAGTGCCGCCTGGCCCCTAGGTCGCCCGCATCCCGGCTCGGAGGCCAAGGCAGAGCGCTGTGCCCGCGGCAAGGGGGGGGG